GAATTCTGGGAGTTGAAGTCCACAGGTCTTCAAGCTGTCAAGGTTGAGACGCACCGGTCTATATACTGCTTGATTTTGGACGTTTTTAATTCGAATATGCCTTTTTGCAAAGATTTTCTTGGTTTGGCTCCTGGGTTTCCCTTTGCAAGCAAAGTGGTCAACAGAAAGCATTAAAATGTTTTATCCTGATGAACCTTTTGCCTTTGCCCCTTGTTCAGGCTGGCCCTCCGAGAAAATAGGGTCCCCGTAGTGCAACTCCATTTCCAGAGCGGCCAATCGTTCCTGCAGCCAGCTCAATGCCCCCCCTCCAAATGCTAACCAAGGTGAACAAACCCGGTTACGGGGAGCGGCCCGTGTGGCCCGTGGCGGTGCAAAGCCACCCCGTGCAGAGGGTTCGTGGGAACCCAGGAAACGGGGTTTGGGGAGCAAGGCCAGGTCGATCCAGTTCATGGGGGCCCGGCCCAACGGTTGCCAAGCCTGTCCCGTTCCCAAGGACTGATTCGAAGGGCCCCCTAAAGGTCATCCAATCCAACCCCCAAGGGAGGTTCTGCAGTACAGAAATGGGGGTGAAAATGGGGGTGTGGAAGGCGTTGACAGTGTAAAAGCAACCTGGGTCAAGGTAGAAGGGATGAAACAATGTTGGAGTGGTAAATTTTGAAGCACAAAAAGCTGAAGGCCCTCAAGATAATCTAGTTACGCATCTCAAAGATAAATAGGCTTATCTGTCTTGATTAACTATATTTAAGAGGTTAATTTTAAGACATGGACATCCCCAGTTAGCTCGATGTTAGCTTCAAAAATACAATCAAAATCTGAATATTCATTTTATGGAGCTTTGCAATCCAGCGGTAACCTGGGAGTAAGTTCTGAGTGGGATAGTCCTGGTTAGAAGTGAATTGTGGCAATTGTTTTTTCCAGGAAACCACAGCTCTGTTAAACCAGAGTTAGCCTGTTGGGCAAATACACCCTAAATGTTTGTCGAACAGACTCTTATCAAGGTCGGCTAATAGGGAAAGTTCAAAAGCGACGGTTAAATTAGGATAGAGGTTGTGTTACAGATTAACCAGCCATGTGTTCCCCTACTGGGTTGAGCAAGCCCAACTACAGGCTTGCGATGGAGCATTCTGCCCGCGCTAATCCCAGAAAATCACTGGGTGGCCTACTTTCCCTTTCTTCCTCTATCCTAGCAACAGGGCAGCACCTGCAGGCTGTTTAACCCGCTCCTGAATTAACCCATTTTCTGGGTTGGGATCATAAAGTCACCTGGATTCATCCAACATGCTAGAAACTACACTGATAACATGTACCATGTGTGCGTCCGAATCCATTTACTAGTTTTCTCATTGTCCTGGTTCAGTCTCTTGGATGTGTGTGAAGGCTTGGGGGGTGATGATTTGAATCAGGGTTTCCCAGCCTCCGGCGCCTGAAGATGCGCGGGCTTCACCTCCCAGAATTCCCCAGCCAGCATGCATCTCCAAGCGGCTGAGCGTGAGAAACCCTGATTTAAAGACCCGAAACAAACCACGGGACTTTTTTCTGAACGAGCGATGAAGCTGGAGGCGGAAACGCTGGAGCGCAGCGCCGCCTGGTGCCCGCCGCGTGCAGTAGCACCCGCCGGGGGAACCACGTTGCCGATCCGGCGCGGAGCGAAGGCCTTTGCTTCGGGTCTCTCCGAGGCCGCTCCGGCCTGGCTTCTCTTCGCGGCGGGGTCCCTGCAGCGACCCGGCCCTTTCCCGAGGACGTTTGGGAAGGGCGCGGCCTTTGCAGCTGCAGAGCAAAGGACACACTGTAAAGGATGGGCCGAAGGTTTTATGCTAAGCATTTCTGGGTGGAAACGGGGGAGGAAAAAAAAGAACCTCCGAGGCGGAAGCGAATGTTGCTACAATGAAAAAGAAAAGTGGGGGAAAGCCACTATTTTTTCCCTTTTTGCGAAGGGGGAGGGAGGCGAACGCAGGCGCTCCCACGGCCTTTATCTGCCATCCAGCGTCCCTCTTGGAGCAAGTGGTAGCGTGGCCGAGTGGTCTAAGGCGCTGGATTTAGGCTCCAGTCATTTCGATGGCGTGGGTTCGAATCCCACCGCTGCCAGCAGAATCTTTTCCTCCCGGTGCCACCGCCACCCTTTTGATCCGCCGCCCGCAAGCCCGTGCCCCGCAGCACCC